GCTAGAAATGATAATAAAATAATGAATAATCACATTTGAATTATACTTTAATTTCAAATGTGACTTTTTATTAAGAAAATTTACATTTGAATAGACACAAAAATAGAATGAAATCCATGTAACCATCACGAGCTTTAGCGGTTACCATAATTTTACCATTCTTAATTCGTCTACTCCCTCTACTCTTATTGGTGAAGTCTTTTAAAGCAAATCCCAGGCATCATATCATTTTACCCTTAAATACTTCAGATAAGGACTTAAATATTATCATGCCTAATAAATTAAGCAGTGCATTAATATTATATAATTACCAGCCCACATTCAGTTTTCTGTTTGTCTTTCTATCGTTGTTTGAATCAGGATGTAAACAAGGTCCGTACAGTACAGTTGTATCTCATTTTATCTATAACAGTTTTCCTCACTTAAAAAATATCATTTAGCCCAGCCAGCGTGGCTCAGTGGTTGACCCATGCACCAAGGAGTCAGTTTGATTCCTAGTCAGAGCACATACCCGGGTTTCCAGCTCGATCCCCAGCAGGGGGCCTGCAGGAGGCAGCCGATCAATGACTCTCTCTCATCATTGATGTTTCTGTCTCTCTCTCCCTCTCCTTTCCTCTCTCTGAAATCAATAAAAAAAATATTTTTTAAAAAGTCATTTATTGGTTGAAGAAACCAGGTCATTTGTCATATAGGCTTTTCCCACAGTCTGGATTTGGTTGATTGCAGTCTTATGGTGTCAGTTTATATGGTCCTCTTTCCCTAGTAATTCTTATAAACTAGTTTTATCTAGAAGCTTGATCAGATTCAGGTAACATCTTTTTGGCAGGAAAATTTCACAGGTGCTGATGTGTCCTTCCTTTTATAGCATTTCCAGAGGCAAATTCTTTTTTGTCTTTTAATGATATTAAGATAGATCAGTGAGTCCAAGTATTACCAGCTCTATCTATCCTTTAAAGGTTCTCCACCACATTTTACCCTAATGATATGAGCAACCACTGACATTGACCTAAACACATTATTTCATTAGGGACTGCAACATGGTGATCTGATAATTCTCTTTCCTTCTGCATTTATTCGTTTCTATGAATAAATAAGGGAAGTTTCCCCTTATCAGCTCTTTGGTGAATCTTAAAAATAGATTTTCAGGAAAAACAGGATACATGCTTGATTCTTTTATTTATCAAGGTTAAGTTTAGCTTATTAATTTTATTAAGTTTTGGGGGAGATAGGGAAATATTAAGAACTTGTGGATTTTTATATATTTGAGTGTTTCAATCTATTGCAGTTATTATTTGATGAGTAGAAGCCCCTTGCAAGTTGGCTCCTGAATATTACTTTATAATTTGCAAGATACTTAACATACATTAGTCATTTAAACCTCATAAACAGCTCTGTGAAGGTAGGTATTATTACCCAGAACATATGGCTTGAACCAGAACTTGGCATCTTTTGTACTTCCATTAAATATAATAATGGTTGAAAGAATCAGAATGTTAAAGGAAGTTGGGTTCTTTTTTCTTTTTCCCTTTTTTTCTGATTTTGAGATTAAACAGCAGATGTCTTCAACCAGCAGGAATATAATATTAAGCAATACACACTTTAGAAGGCATTACTTGTAGCAAACACTGTTGAGAATAATGTTATGCTGATAATACTATAACTTAGTAAATAGACTGTCTCAACTTTGTTTGTGAAGCATTTCAATTTTGATTACTCTATGTGGGACCTACTGCTCAGATATATGTCATTTTATGGTCTGCCCATGTCTGGGGAGCTGGCATTACACGCTGCCTAGTGTTTTTAATTCAGAACTTCTTCTAAAAGAAACCTTAGCCTCTTATGCTCAAACCCTAGTTTTAATAGCATAAGCTATTTCTTTCTTATATAGCTTTGTGGGCATAGTAATAAAATAAATACCACAAAATCACTGATGAGATGAAAATTGAGCTCCCTGCTTCTGTGCAGCCATGTAGGTAAAACAGTAATTGGCTCTGATAATAACTTTTGTTCTTACAAACCAAAGTCTAAATGAGAGTCACATTTGATATATCTGCTTGTAATTACTATCAAAAGGAGAGAATATAAAGTTTGGTTTATTTAGTGACTCAAGATAATTAAATAAATCGCTGTCTTTTCTTGACCAATTTAAGAAAGATTTCTGAAATTATTTCTGATATTTATCTTACTGTTGGTAAAAAATGATCATCTTCTGGAGCATGCTTTCCTGCTTAATGGGTTGATTAATTTTGGTTTTGTTTTAAATCTATAATTGTTTTTTTCTTGGAAAACCTTATTACTGAGTCTGATAGGGCAGTTTATGCTTATAAGTATTTTCCTGTACATCTCTGTAGATGTAATTTGTAAAATTGTAAAACAAATTTAGATTATGAATATATGTGGTAGTGATTTTCAGTGAAACCACGTGATATGTTACTATTATTTAAATGTAAACTCCTTTATATGTTTTTTTTAAAGGAAAATTAAATCATGTGTGCTGCATATTATTTTGGTATACATATGCTTTGGTGCCAAAATAGTAAATATTAGAATGTCAATAATTTTGAAGTACATTTCCCAAGGCTTTAGAAGCCAACTAATAAATAATTGATATTACATACAACCTTGGATTTCTGTTTATATTTTGATTCCTTACCAGAAATATCTGTGCCAAGGCCACAGGAATGTAAAAATGGACCAAAAAACCAACTGATTTTAATTCTAGGTTTAAAAATAATTTGGTATTTGATCATTTCTTTCCTACACCAGTCCTATGGCCGCAGGAAGTTGATGGAGCATAATAAAACTAAGAAAACTGCTGTGGTCCACTAGCCAATGATCCCAGAATTTAAAAGTTCTAACAAAGCTTAGACATGATAGAGGGGGCTATTACCATCAACTGTATCCAGAACACATTTTAAAAACACCCTAATTACAGAAACCACATCCAGTCAATATAATACATATTAGTAATGTCCCGATCCTTTGTAGAATGAAAATTATTCTGAAAGCTTAATTAAGAAGAAAAAAATTATGTTCAGGTATTAATTTTAATGAAAGAGACACTCAGCTTCCACGCAGACACCCGGAATAGCGCTGTGAGCGTGGGTTGGCCACAGAAGGAAACCCATCGGTAACTAGGCGCAACATTATTTTTGTCACCGTGAGTACTTTAAGGAGAAGGGAGTAGACAGGCCATATCTGCAACCCGTGTCCCTGCATGGGTTAGATAAAGTGGACAGCTGAGTACAGCTAGTTGGAGATTTGGTTTAAAAACTGCTATTAAAAACATTAAAGGAAGGTTTGGAGCCCGTGTTAGGAAATAACTAGACCGCGTACATCCTGTGGATATTTTTGCAGTCTCCTTCACCTCCACCTTAGGTGCAGCCACTGATGACTTAGGGACAAAGAAGGAACTGGGTGGGAGCTAACCTGTCAGGTTCCTACAACCATTTCAGCAATTGCCTCAGGACACGTTCAGAATGAAGACATGCCATTGAAAGGAAATCAGGTGTTTTAATTGCTTACAATGGCTCTTTTAAAAGTTACAAAGACCACATATTTTCAGTTCGTATGAGATGTCCAGAGTGGACATATCCACGGGAGAGAAGGTAGATTAGTAGTTGCCAGAGGCTGGGATGCGGAGGAAATGGGGAGTGATGGATAATGGGTCGGAGGTTTCTTTCTTCAGGGATGAAAATGTTCTAGAATTAAAGAGGGGTGATGGTTGCCCTGGCGTGGTGGCTCAGCTGGTGGGAGCATCATCCCACACCCCGAAAGGTGGCAGGCCCAACGTCCAGCCGGGGCACAGACCCCGGCTGTGAGTTCAGCCCCTGGTTGGGGCGCGTACAGGAGGCAAGCAATCAGTCGGTGTGATGTTTCTTCCTCTCTCGCTCACTAAAATCAATAAGCATATCCTCCCGTGAGGATTAAAAATAATAATAATAAAGAGGGGCGATGGTTGTATAACTTTGTGAATATGCTAAAAATCACTAAATTACAAACGTTTGAAGAGGTAGAGTTTATAGTATGTGAATTATATCACAGTAAGAAAGTCGCAAGACTTCAGAAACTGTTGGTAATACCACATTTCTTAAGTGTCAACTTAACCTTTTAGTGTCAAATCATAGAATGCCAAAGCTGGAGAGGGCCGTGTGTGTGCGGGGTGGGGGCTGGTGAATAGTTCAAGTGACCATCAAGTCTAACTGTCACATTTGAAAATAAAGAAGCTGGCTTCCAAAGAGGGGAAGTGACTTACCCAAGGGCATACACAGGCAGTCCAGGGGAAAGCAAAGCTGGAGCCCCGGCTCCGGCCGCCTCTCCGTGCCTGTTCCGCCGCCGCTGTGCTGCTACACCCCTGGCTGCTAGCCAAGCACCTCAGCTGTAATTAATTTGAATTATTCGAAATGAGGAACACGTGGTTCAAATGAAATGCTTTTCTTTTTTTCTGAAGAAAGCGTGCATTTTCCCTGTAAAGAGCAAAATCTCTGCAAAGGAGTAAATAAATTTGTGGTGATAAATTTACCAAGTCCAAGCTGAGATTTACCTGTAAGTGTCCCCGAGGAAAGTGCCACATTAACAGACCAAGGGAGCCCTCTACCTGCGTGTCTGCAGTACAGATTTCATCAGCAGAATCCTTGACCTGGAAAGCTAAAAATAAACCCAGACCAGGTAGTCCAGTCCTTTGTCCACCATGGCTGGCTTCTGTCGTTATTTGTGAGAAAATGAACACTGTCTGAGGATGTATTTGTATGAGCAATAGGATACATGGGGGGAAATCTGCAGAAAGTTCCTTTTCTGTGAATAAACGAGAACAATTAACAGCAGAAATAAAAGACATATATATATATATATATATATATATATATTTTTTTTTTTTTCCCTAGTGAGAATTACATTAGAATAATTATTTTCAAAGGACTGTATACTCCTTTGAGGATATAAGGTGTTAGTAAGCATTTTTGTTCATCCAACATGAAAGTTTCATTGTTTCTTTGTTTCAGCAAAAGATAGGGCTGGATGTAAAAATCATGCAGGATCCTGAGAACACCCAGCACAGAGCTGCAGTCCATGCGCACTATGGAGTCAGTATGCCATATATTAATCAGAGAAAAGCACATGTAAGTAATGAGTTGTTTTAATAAGCTCTTACTTTTTTTAAGAATTAAAAGTCATACATTAGTAGTGTACGATATAATGTAGATTTTAAGTAAAGATTTTGATCCTTTTGTCCTTAAAATTTAATGGAGCAGCTTTGATTCTGTTTATAATTAGAAATGATTAAAACATGTAAACCTATTTTTTAAAGATCCATTGGTAGCTCATTCAAATTTCTCTATTTTTTTTTATGTTCCTAAATAATCTAGTTCCATAATTTTAACAATTATGAGAAAATTTAACAACAAAGAGAATTAGTAGAGAAATTCTAAATATTTTATTTCTTTCATAATAGGCGTAGCATCAGAAAAATCAAAAGGAAACAACAGCATAGTATCAGCTTCAATGGTATATACTCATACAATACACAAAATTCAAGAAAATTATTCTAAATCTGAAGCAAGCAGGGATTAATTCTTTAGGTCAGCAAAATGATGAAACGGAAAAATAATCACATGGTGATTGCATTAAGGGGTCTCAGTCTGTGCCCATTTTTGCCATTGACTTTCTGGTAAGTGTCCCAAAGCAAGGATTGGACTCTTTCTGTATTGTGGGATCTTCTTAGGAGAATTAGGAGCAATGCTTCACTTAATTGGGAAATTCTTTCATTTGAGATCATTTCTAATACTGAAAACAATTACCAAGGTTACATTTATACATTTTTAAATACAATTTTAACCTTTGGCTTCTCTCAAAAGCCCTTAAATGTATACTTTGGTGAAATCAAAACTAAAAACCAGATTAATTTTAGAATTAAATTGCAAACCCATTTCTAACCAGCATAATAGCCTCTTAGATTAATCTTCCAAATGTCCTGCATAGACATTTTCAACTGCCTACTTCATTTATGTAACCTTGTAATATATTTTTTAGTTTCTTTGTATGTGCTTTATGTTATTCTAACAGGTTTGGTTTAAGAGCACTTTATCACAGAAATACTTGTATAGCCCCAGAAATAACCAGAAAGTTAGATATTTTTATTCCTGCTGAAACTTTATTTAAAATGTCACTGTGAATAATGTGAAAGGGTTTTTATCTGCTCCCATGGGCCCAAAGCCCTTGAAATAAAAATATTATTTCTCTGGCTGTGGAGACAGAAGCAGATTTCTCTTTTGTTGTTGTTGGTTTTCCCCCTTCAATCTAGAATTAATATTGGCTTAGCTGGTGGAGCGCTGAAGCTTTGTAACCCAAGGCAATTGCTGCATCTCGTGCAAACTTTTTCTGATGAGTATAGAGGTTTAAAAAGGCACAACTCCAGATTCCGAGAGGATTATGCTCTGCTTTAATGAATCTAAGAGAAGATTCAGACATAAATAGGAATTCAAAGTTATATCCAAAACTTGGAGTAGAATCTTAGTCATTTATTATATTTTTTAATTCCCATATCTGCTAAGTGCCTTGGATATTGTGCCCATGTATGTTGAATGAAGAGAATATGGGAAAGTTCTTTGCCTTGTCTGACATATAGATAATATATGCTCATTTATTATATTAAAAATCCCCTTTTTTCATAAAACTGGACTCCATAAAACTGTACACCAGAGCACTTTAAAATGTATATGCATTAGGACCATTTTACTCAAATTTACTATTGGCATTTCAATCCAAATAGTCGAGCCTATCATTTTATGTTGATATATGTACGTATGATGGTACTAACTAAAAAAACCCAGTATTTTCATTTTGAATTTATAAAACAGAAGCATTGTGCAAAAAAACCCTATGAAAGAAATAGTCAGGTGTTTGGTTTTAAACAACCACATAGAGCACTTGAGAATAAATACAGTTGTGATTTACCACTTATAAAACTGTTTTTGAAAGCACTTACCCAAACCGCAGCAATGTGTCTGTGTTGTGATGTATAGCTAATTAGAAAAGCAGCATCCAGGCTAATCACTTTTTATAACTCCTCGAAACGCTCAAAGGGGATTATTATTTGGCTGCCGAAGGCCATGTGTTTCCTTACTTTTGAAACTTAAACAGCTTGTCAAAAGCCTGTAAATAATCTGAGACATTTTCTGACGGAGCAAACTTGAATATATAGTTAATTTACATTATTAGCTCTTAGAAACTGGTATTTTCTTCATTTTGTGAAGAGGTATAAGGTGCTGTACAAAGACTTTAGTGCATTGAAAACACATCTATGCCAGACATACATACGCACACACATACCCCCCCCCAAAACTGCCTTCAGCATGTTACATCCTATTAACCCTACCAGTAAAATCAATTTACAACAAAATGTTAAAAGTAAAACTCACTGATGATTTTTTTCAATATCTTAAATGTGCCTAATAATAATAATAATCATAATAAACCCTCTAGCAGGTTTTTGAGAAGGGCCTTAGACATGGGGAGAGAAGAAGAAATCTCTGATACTGTTTGTGCTGAATGACATTTAGTTCCAGTTACACACCCCAATGCAACACATTAAAGGATCTACAGAAAATTTGACTTTGATTTATTTTGTTTTAAATAAAAAGGGTTTCTTAAAAGGCTTGAAACATGTATCTGTTACATGAATTTTAAAAGAACGATTATGAATGCATAACAAAATAGCCAAACAAAACATTGCTTTGAATTGCTGCGCAAATAACTCTGATTATAACTGTTATGACCTAGAAAAGAATCATAAAAACATTTTTCTTTTTGGCAAGATGTGAGTTGCTATAGAATTATACCAGTTCCTTGGGCCCACTTTCCAAATAAATAAATATATAATGCAATGTAAACTTAGAATCTTTTATTTATTCATGAGGCTGAATTTAATGCTATTATGATTTCTAGATTTTATGAGTCATATGTTATGCAGTGTTTTTCACCAACTTAGTTGGGTAGCAACTGCACTTCACAAATCACAGTTTCATTCTTTGCTGTTTCACTCGGGGCGTGCTTAGCAATCGCTCTCACTGAAAGCACATTCACTTCTGAAATGATAAAGTAATGGAAAGTGAGGCAATTGTGTTCATGTCGAAGGGTTAGAAGCACCAGAAGTAAGGGGCGGGGCGAGGAGGAGTGGGGTGGGAAAGAAGGGCTATTTCAAAACATGATTGTGTTTTAAGCCCATGCATATGGCCACAATTACAGTCACAACATAATTTGGCAACAGTAGCAGAATTAGATTTAAACAAATTGATGTTACACTGCAGTAATTCAGAATGAGCTTGTTGCATTTATAAAGCATAACAAGAAGCAGAGTGAATTAATAAACCCTTCTTGTCACTAAAAATAAAAAAGGGAATAATTGCTGAGATGGAGTTAACTTAACAGATGACTATAGTCAGCATCCTTTCAGCCTAGAGATGGGAAAGTGAAGGTCACCCCCATCTCCGATGACAAAGAGGGAACGTTTTGTTGGTAAACAAATTAATCTTTTGAAAGGTCGCCATTTGTTTTAAGTTTTTATCCAGTTCTTGTCATCTGGAATCAGAGATTGACTGTCACTTCACCAGGCAGGGGTGCAGTGGAAGCAGACAGAGCTGCTTCTGTACATATCAGCACTCCTTGACGAAACTCGCCGCCTGATTGGGATGCTATGGGCTGCTGGTTTACAGCTGTCTCCGGACAAGAGCGGAGGCCCACCCCTGAATTCCAATAAGATGGGCCTGCACGTTCCGCCTGCTGGAAGCTGGCCCGCTGCCCACAAGTAAAATGTATTGTAGTTCAAGCCAGCAATTATCTCTCCCACTTCCTTCTGTGCTGCTTCTGTTCCCTTTTTCCAAACACAGATGTGGGTATTCACTCAAGTTCGGCGTCTATCCTCCCTCACACCTGCCGGGCGGAACTTTGACAGAGGTAGAGTCTGGGAGCCAGCAGACCCCGGTCAGATGGCAGCTCCTTGAGAGCCGTTTAAGAGGAAAGTGTGGATTTTTCAGGAAGTGCAGAGTCAGCGTCTTGGTCCCCCCTCCCTTTTCCCAGGAGCATTTGGTAAATTAAATTAGTCGAACAAAAGGAAATAGCTTTAAAGACATTCAGAAATGCCATATCCTATTTATGACACACAGTCATTACCCAGTGTGACTGCGATGGCCGCTTCTGTCACTGAGAAAGCGCTTTCTCTCCACGTTGCTTTCAGAGAGACTCCAAGAAAACAGTGACCTCTCACGCTCTTGACTCTCGGCCTGTAAGAGGAATTCGCCACTGGGTAGGGTGGTGCTGGCGGGTGTGGGGTGTTTCCTTTGTATGTTGTCGCTCTTTTAGAATTTTAGTTCTGCACTGGTTGGGAGTGCAGGGAAAGTGAAGACAGTGACTCGACAGTTGTCATTGCCTGGTGTCAGGCTCTCTCACCAAAGCCCATTACTCCGGGAGTGGGGAGAGACAATTAGATAATGTTCATGGAACATTAGCTGGAGCGAGTTCTCCGACTTCTTGCGAATGCGGTGCGTCTTGAGTTTCTGCGCTGAGCTCCTGCATGCGCGCCCAGGCCAACCCTGTGCTGACCTCCAGCATTTTCTAGCTCTGGGCACAGTGCTTCAGGGTCAGAGTGCCGGGTGTGAATTCTTACTAGACTGGGGTCTCCCAGAAACAACTTGCCTTTCCTCATGTGTAAAATGGCCATCATTAGACTCTCTCACAGGACTGTGTTGGGATTTAAATGAGATCATTCAAAGGTCCTGGTATACAAATAAGCACTCTGAAAATATCAGTTATGGCTGTCGGCAGTTTTCACATGCTGTGTTGTGCCATGTTTTATCCTGCCGTCTGAAGCTGACGTTGTCGGGGTTGGGGGAGAAGCGGGATGTGCCACGGCTGCGCAGCCTAGAAGCGAGCAGGAGTCTCCTGCCCGTAGCCGGGCGAGCGCCCTCCCGCCGGCCGGCTGCAGCTCCCCCGGGGAAGCCCGAGCTCCGGGGGCCCAGCGGCCTCGCCACGAGCCGGCTGTTTCCAGGAGCAAGTCACCTACCCTTCCATTCTCATTTTCTCATTTATAATGGGGGGGCTAGTCGGGAGGCAGTCTGGTGGGGGGAAGCATTGGAGCCGAGTGGGTCGGAGTTTGGGCCCTGCCTGCCGTTGCCCAGTGTGTAACCTGGGCAAGGAAATAACGCCGCGTGCTCGGTTCCCTCTCCTGTAGAGTCAGGACAAGGGTGGCTGCTAGGCAAGGGTGTGATGGGGACTATAGGTAACAGAGGGACACTGCAGGCACATCATAGGTGCCTAATAAGGTTCCTGCCTTTCTGAAAAACGCATTCGTATTAAAAAGCTCACACTTCCTTCTCCCTTCTTCTAAAACCTGTGCATCCAGAAGAGGATCTGATTTGGCTCCTCTCACACCCCAGTGTAAATGAGCGATGGGTTTAATGCTGTGGCTTTCAAACTGTTACAGAGAACTCCAGTGCGTTTCAGGGAGGCTGTGAGCATTTCATTCATATTTCATTTTTATGATAAATATTTTAAAGTGTAATAAAGAACAATACATAATGGTACCAAGTTAGATACCATTAACGGGTTAATTTGTGCTGCCAGCTTCACTCTGTGAGCACATGGACACGGGCGTGTGCATGGGTGTATTTGTGTTTGTGCACATGTACATTTGAACTTCGTTTTTGTTTTTTTCTGTTAATCCTCACCAAGGATATTTTTTCCATTGATTTTTAGAGAGAGTGGGAGGGAGGGAGGAAGGAGAGAGAGGAGAGAGAGAATGAGAAACATTGATGTGAGAGAGACATGTAGATTGGTTGCCTCCGGCACCCAGCCAGGGCAAAGGATCAAACCTGCAACCCAGATACGTGCCCCTAACCGGGAATTGAACCTGCGACCCCTGGGTGTGCAGGATGACACTAACCACTGAGCCATACCAGCCAGGGCTAAATGTTTTATCAAGGTATTTTTTATGAGATAGGGTGCATTTTTTTACTAGTCAAATTTTGAAAATTAGTTATCTTCTCATATAAACTATAATAATCATACAAATAAATAAGTGAAGATTAAATGAGCTAATACATGTCAAAATCTTAAAGCAGAGCCTAGCCCCTAGTGAGCATTCAATAAATGTAAGCGGTCTCAGTATTATAACACACGCGTTGGTGCTCAGCAAAGCCAGGCAGGGTCTCAGGTGCACACGCCTGGCACAGCATACCGTCCATTGGACAATTACAATAGCACGTGCTGCCCCGTGATGATACCGTGCTATAGGTGGTTCCATCGCTCATTTAGGTTTGGGTCGGCTCTTACCTGGTTTGGAATGTGCTGTACAACCTTCATTTGACATCACAGGGTTGCAATGTCACTTTACAACTGCAGAGAAAAGACCAGTAATAAAGCGTCATCTTAAAATTTGGATTCAACATACAAAACAAAATAGGTTGTTCTGAAACTGAACATCTGACAGAGAAAGGCGTTGAGATATTGGAAAAGAATTTCAATGGGACGTGATGGAACATCTTAAAATGTTACAAGACACATTTGAAAAGTACTTTTGATCACTCACCTCTTCAATAATAGCATTTATTTTAATTTTTAAATATGTTTAAATATGTTTTATTGATTTTTAGAGAGAGAAAAACATCGATCGGTTGCCTCCCTTATGCTCCTGACCAGGGATCAAACCCGCAACTGGGCAAGTTCCCTGACTGGGAGTAGAACTGACAACCTTTCAGTGCATGGACGATGCCTAACCTACTGAGCCACACCGGCCAGGACAATAACAGCATTTATTAAGTGTGCCAGACACTATGCTAGGTTCTTTATGTACACTCTTATTTACCCCTTACATCTATCAAATAGATACAGTTTTTATAACCATTTGACACTTAAGGAAACTAAGACTAAGATTTAGCTACTTGCCTAAGGTTATGAAGTAAGCAAAGGAGTCAGGATTCAAATTATTCACAAAATCTATTTGTCAAATCTCCCCAAATTGAATACTTAACAACTAATCCTTAATTATTAAGGAATATGAGTAGTTGTTAGATATTGTTAGTGATTCTATTTTGAAGCAAATTTCCTACTCTTCCTTAAAGTTTCCAAATTATTTTAATTGAAGAAAATCATGAGGTTATAAGTACCATAACAAATTGTTAGTTATTTGAAATTACTTATCTATTTACATGAGGATTTTCTCCACCTTGTGCAGGCAAAATAAAATACAGACACAAACTGTCTGCTGTGATGGGTGTAAGATTGCAGTTATTACCTATAACTCTTGATTTCATAATTTGCTTTCATCAAAACAGCCTCATTGTTGCCAGTGCTGATTCATATATACATACAGATATATGTAACTAATATATAGTATATACTTATTTATATACATGTAAAATTCAAATATAAAGTTATACTAAATTCTTATAAAACTTGCATTTATTTACATATCAGCATTCTACTTCAGGTTGCATTTGAGAAATAGATTCTATTGCTGAAAATAAATTTAAAAATCTTTGGCACTAGAGTATTACCTCTCCCATGGGCTTTTGCTTTTTAACAAGAGTAAATCCTCTATTTAATTAAACCCGAGGAGTTAGACTCTATTAAGGGATTTCAAGCATGAGTAGGCAGGGAGAAGAGGGATTGGGGGAGATGCAGAAAGAGCCTTTGCACTGCCCTGGAATCATCCCAGGTCAGCAGCCACCTGCTAACTAGGATCCCTGGTAGGATCCAGTGCCTTTGCACTTTGTGACTTGAGCTTTGACTTGAGTTTGGACTTCGTACTAAGAGATTATGTTTCTAAACTCATAATTCCACCTTGATGAGCCAAAAATTAGGTAGATGGAGGAGCCTGAGTCAGCTCTATGATAAA